ATGCCCTGATGTTATCTGTGCACAATAAGGCCTCCGTCATTTTCTGCCCAGGGAGGAAATTTGAGAGATACATGCCTCTGAGAGTTACAGAGATGGGCTTAGTGTTTTCTAATTGTTCAACATGAGCCTGTTGAGGGGAGAAAAAGAAAATCTGAAAACATCTGAAACAGAGTGTGGTGTCTTCTCCTTTGGCATGAGGTAATGGATGGTATTTAATGAACTTGAAATTTCAGAAGAAATTTTATTTCTTCTCCAAACAAACTCTTAGACTCCTTAATAAAGAAACTATTCGGTGGGCTGGGCCTGTAGCACAGCATTTAAGCACTATGCCTAGGTAGCAGAATTCTACATGACTGGCCATGATTTGAATCCCCGCACCAACATTTTGGGGGGGAAAAAATGCCAACGAAGCTGACATAAATAAATAAATAATACAGTAAAAAAGAAAGAGAGAAATAAAGAAAAAGAAGGAAGGAAGAGAGAGAGAAGAGAGAGAAGAAAAGAAGAGAAAAAAAGAAAAGAGAAAAAAAAAAAAAGAAACTAACCATTTGACAACGTTCTGGTAACCAGACTCCAGGTAGATTTTCAGAGCCTAACTCTTCCAAGTGTATTGTTTGTACTATTGGCTGCATAATTGCCACATCTCCATTTGATCTAGAACTGTCTAGCCACTGTTAGCTGCTTTTCCTTCTATTTTAATATTCCCTGAGTTTTCTGCCCCAGTACTCATTAAGGACCCCTAGAAATCACATCCAGCCTTGCCATTGCCTCTAAATAACTTAGTCAGTTAGAACTTACTTTCCCTTTTCCTGATGATTCAGCATTTAGAGTATTTATGCTATTTTGCTTGTGTGTGTATCTGTGTATTTTCTTGTTCTTCCTGAGTAAGGTTGAAGAACCTTTGGGTTGTCTACCTACCAAAATTCGAACCTGTCTACTCTTGGCTGTATTTCAATGTATAGAAGGTTATACCCCTTACACAGGTGCAACTTAGTTGTCCTCTCTTACTTTCATACCATTACGGCACTACATCTGGTACATCCAAGGCATGGTGTGAGATTAAAATGCATAGGCTAATACAGCAATCCAGCCGTCATGAAGTCTGTGTTCTCAGGGGATGGGAGGTGAGGCATGGGTCGCAATAACTGAACAAGGCAGTCTGTGGTGAGTCCGCAAAGGCAGTACCCATGGAGCATCCCTAATCGGACTCTCTAACATCTGAAATGGTCCAAACTCTGAAACTCTTTGAGTGCCAACATGATACTACAAGGGGAAAGTTTCACATCTGACCTCATGTGACAGATTGCAGTCAAAATGCTTCAATATATTGGGACCAGTAGATGGCATAATGGATACATCGTTGGACTCCCATTAGTTGACCGCAGTTCAAGTCCTGGACCCAGCAACTTAAATTCACACCAGGCACGTGTGCATGCAAGCCCAAGATCCCAAAAAGAGAATGGAGGAGAAGGGATTACAGTACGGCCACCCCTGCCCCAGGGGGGTTCATTTCTCACTTTCTATCTCTCTGTCTCTCTCTGTCTTTCTCGCACGTGCACACACCCTATAGCAAAAACCCCTCTTTAAAAAATAAAAGCTTCAATATAAAAGTATTGTATAAAATTATCTCCAAGCTATGTGCATAAAATATATATGAACTATAAATGAATTTTGTGTTTAAAATTGGGTATCTCATTATGCATATGCAAATGGTCCAAAATCTGAAAAAAGCCTGAAACCGTTCTGATCCCAAGAATTTCAGATAAGGGATATTCAACCTGTGCATACAAAATGATATGGTTGTACTACATAAGGAAAAGATTGTTTTTTTTGGGGGGGAGAGGTTTTTGCTATACGGCAAGTGCGCTCACCAGACAGACAGAGACAGAGAGACAGAAAGCAAGAAATCACCCCCCAGGGGGGATGGCCATGCTGCAGTCCCTTCTCCATTCTCCTCTTGGGCTCTTGGGCACGTACACACACGCGCCCTGGTGTGAGTTTTAAGCCACTGGGTCCAGGACTCGAACCGTGGTCGACTACATGGGAGTCCAGCGACATAGCCATTACGCTAACTGCTGGTCCCAGGAAAAGATTGTTTCTAATGAGAGTGATTAGGTATGGAGGATTTCACTAAGTTGTTGTTATTTGATCTGGGCTGTAAAAAAAAAAAAAAGAAAAGAAAAGAAAAGAATACCAACATGGGGGAATTTTATTTATACCATCTTGTTTTCCAGGAGGAATTTAGACATACTATAACCAGATAAAGTCATGTTTAAATTAAACTGATGAAGAAATGGGGCTGGGGTGATAAGGAGTAGATACACTGTATGGGGAAAAAATGGAATTAAAGTGTGAATTTATTTTGGTGCAAAAATAATTGACCTTGCATAGTTTTTTCATAATATACATTTTCTCTAGATTTTTTTTGAAGACCCCCTCATAAGGAGGTGAGAATTAAGTTGGTACATAAAATAAGTACCTCATGGCACAAGGTGCTAGCTAGATTAGACCAGGGAGATGACCATTTTAATGAAAATTAAAATGGTGCTTCCCAACCCCTCTCTCCAACTGCAGATAAAGGAGAACTCTCTTACTGAAGCATCCATTGAGGAGGTAGCAGCTCTGAGGAAGCTTCTGGGTCATTCACTGTGTGCTTGTCCAACTCCCTAGGTCCTGGGATGGATCCGCAATGGGGAGTCCATGCTCAACGCCAGCCTGGTCAATGCCAGCTCTTTGTCTGAAGCAGAGCAGCTGCAGCGAGAACATGAGCAGTTCCAGCTGGCCATCGAGGTAACACCCAAATCTGACTGCACTGCCCTCTCTCCCGTCTTCTGCTCTGTTCCTCAGGTGGAATGATCTCTCAGGTGTGGCATCTCTTCAGCTGAGGACTTTACCTTTTCTAGTGAAATGGTCCAGGGAGACTCCTTGTTATCCTGAAATTGATGGGGGAGCAAAGGCAGGGATTCCCACCCCTAAGGAGACCTGGTAATAGAAGACAAGAGTGCACATTACAAAGGAATCATTGCTCACTGGCACCTTAAACCTTTAAAACCCTGGTACATTGATTTTTTTAACACATCATGTGCCATGTGAGATACATAAAGTGAAAAGGTTAGACTGTACGTCCAGTTGAAGAGCACTCAGAATTGAGGATAAACACATGCAAAAGCCACTCATCTATTAAGATGCTACTTTTAAACATTCAGTTTACACGTAGCACTTAGAAACTACTGTCCAAGTCTGCCTCTTAATGACAATAGGGAGATGGGAGCAGATGGTACCAGAGTTCACCTCGCTGAAAGTACTTGTTCAATGACACTGCTAGAAATCACATTTAAAGAATAAACTACAACTAGAAGAAGTTCAGCAACTTTTAAAAAGGCTATGTTTAAAAATCCACTTATAATAATCTAATATAAACTTGTCTGGCTTTATATAATACCTTTAATTATCCTTCCTACTAGGACATTCTTCCCAAAGAGACTTCAGCTGATTACTTTACAGCAATGTGAGGAAAAGAGTAGGAAATGGGACATGGGACCTGTATTAAAAAGAAAATAAGTTCAGTGCCAATGGGAAAAGGGATAAAGAGTAAAAACTTCAAAGATACTCATTACTTGTGGTTCAGGGTAGAACTCAACCCATTTCTCAGTATGCAAGAACTGCAAAGGTGTTATCATCCACCAAAAATGATAGCTAATGAGCATTTTGCACAATGATGATGGCAAAATAATCACACTTTGACTGTGCCTGTAAGTACGTCTTTTAAGGCAGTAATTCAACTGATTGCTACCCATTTCCACACTAGTATTGACTGAACCCAGCCATTTAATTTTCCAGAAAGCAGTTTGTATGTGTTAACGTAGCATGGAACTGATTGACTCGTTTCTATAAGATGCTTGATATCTACTTAGGAACCATTCCTAGCAGTAGAAGTACTGTTTGGGATGTGAGATTTAAAAATGTATATTACATGCACAGTGTGAACAAATCATGTTTTAAAAAGGAATTAACAAGAAAAATAATATCACTGTCTCTTATAGTGTCAGGATCTATTCACTGTAAAGGAGAGTTCTGAATGGGGATTATAATCAAGACTCAGGCACACCACGGTCAAGTCCCCTTAGCCCTGACAGCATGAAGAGCATGAGGGTTGACAGTTTAGACTAGGCTATGGCACTTAGCTGTGAGGGATGCTAGACAGAGAGGATCCAGCTGTGGGTCATTCCTCCTCCTTATTTATGTTAAATAGGAAGGTGTTCATGCCGTCAGATAATTACATTTCCAGCCCCTTAATCTAATGTTGGACAAGTAAGACCAAGTGTCATGACACACTTGAGCATCTCAGTGAGCTGATTGGAAAGAGT